GTTGTGCCAACCGCTGGGGCTTCCCCGCGCCGGGGGCAGGGAAATGCCCCCCCCAAGGACCCCTCGGCTGCGCTTGCACCGAGCCCTTCCACCCACCCCTGGGCAGCTCCCGCTTTCCTTGCCCGGGGGGGACACGGATGGGGGAGAGCAGAACTGACGGTAGGGGCTTTTTCCTACCGCCCCCTGGCCCTCCCCCGACTTCTGATGAAGTCATCAAGCTACAGATTGCATAACCGATGCACAGGACTATCTTGTGTTATACTGGGAGACGGGCCAACTGCTTCCATTTATAGACAAAAGCAATGCCACGCTGCCAAATAATGGAGCCTTTGCTGCAGCCACTACAAGGAAAAAGAAAAGGGGGGGAAAAAACCCGGGAGCCAAAGGGCACGCTGTGAAGTGACATCACTCGGAGCTTCCTCCGCCGAGCCTCGGCGCACAGCTGCCTTTGGGGCTGCAGCCCAAGTCCTCACTGAACCACCCTCAAAACAATCTTATTACAGAGCTACCGTCCTGGCTCTTAGGGACACGCGGGCACGGCTGAGGGACGCACTCCCCCCACGGTAATGCCGCAGAAGGCGCTCTATTCTGTATCGTATTACTTTATAAGTTAATTCCGGAGTTTGAAAAGGGAGAAAGCTTTGAAAGGAGCCCCACCAGCTGACATGAGCCCCGCGCACTGTGCAGCAGCTGGAGGAAATACAAAGACTAACACAAAGGTGTTCCTCCTAGTACTGCATTCGAGGTACAAGAGTTTACCTACACATAGTAAAAACTTCCTATTTCCAGCTTTAATAACAGGTTTAAAGCCAGGCCTTCTTCCTCAAGCCAGAACACCACCCCCCTGCCCAGAATATTCCTTCTCCTTTCCATTTTTTTTTTGGCGAAAGCTCTTCCCAACCCATGATGAAAGGCCTCGCTCACATCACCGGAAACAGCCCTGGGTTGCATCCCCCCAAAACAGGAGCCCAGCCCAGGCGCAGGGTCTCAGCAGGCAGGAAAATGCTCCCTAGTGCCTGGGAGCAGAGCTCTTTACCAAGAGCACCTCCGCAGCCCGGCAGCGCTGCTGTTAACCTCCAAGGAGGGGTTGTACCGACCTGCCCAGTCCTGGGCCACCCGGGCTTCTGGCTATAGGTGTGCACACCCCCCCTCCTTCTACGTTCCCTCTGGAGGTCCGGCACAGAGGTGAAACCGGGAAGCGGGCTGGGTGGTACGTGCATGTGGCTGGTGAAAGAAGCAATGCTGGGCTCTACACGGCTGCCTCGTACAAACCATGCCTGCTCCAGGTCCAGATGCAGTCTCACCACTGGAGCCGAGCACGGAGTCAAGCAACTCGGGTTAAGTGCGGCACTTAGGCAGCCACAGAGCTTCACAACCAAACTAACCCAAGCTTCACTGAAAATGCTTTTGGCTCCTGTACTGCCTGCCAGCTCCCTCATCCTCCTACTGCACCCTCAGCCTTCCTGCCCTTAGGCCTCCTGCTCCTCCTCCTCCTCCTCATTCCCTGCTGTCCCTTTCTCCTTCCTACGCCCTCTGCCCTGCCTCTGCGTTTTCCTTTCTCCTCCAACCGGCACTGCTGCCTCTTCATGCTCCAGACACCCTCATCAGCACCCGGGCTAACCAGCCCCTGGCTGCACGTCACCTCCACAGCTGACAGCGCTGGTACCCAGCGGCCCCTGCCCACAGTCTGACTCACCGCGTGACTCAGGCTGCCACCGTTCTGGAGGGATCCCCCGGGGATCCGCAGCAGCAAGGGGACAACCCAGCTCCTTCCCCCAGGGCCCTGTGCTCGTGTGTGTGTGTGTGTGGGCACGCACATCCAGGGGTGCCCTGTATGGGTTGTAGGCATGTAGTCCTTGAAAAGAATGACAAGATGTCCTGGGATGGGAAAGACGTGCTGAATTCTCAGCTGCAAATAGCACTCTCCTGATAATGGTGGCTCGTGCAGTGTTACACATGCTCCAGCCGGGAACAGGGAAGCTGCAGCTCTGCCGCGAGGTCCTCACCCAGGGGCAGAGTGAAGCAGAGAGGCCGCTTATGCAAGGGTGGACAGTGCCAAGGCCTCTTCCCCTGGCTTGGCCACCAAAAAAAGAGCCACAATTTCCAAATGGGCAGCATAACACATCTGGACAGGTTTTTATAGTTGCAGAGTACCCAGAAAGATGAACTTTTGTAGGGATCTGGCTGCTTAGTTAACACCTACATGGGAGTTGCCCTCTGTCGATAATTTGATCCTTAGTTAAGTGGTAAGAGCATAAATCCTGTGTCCTCCCAGTGTATTTCCAGGGACCTACTGGAGCGAGGGGATCCTCTGCAGGAGTTCAGGGGTGATGAGTATGCATATATGTACAGTTATGCACATTAAACACAAGTGACTTTAAAAAGAGAACAAAGGGGAGTGGAAAAGGTATTTTCCTCTTTGTCTCAAATCTTACATGCCTCTTCCCTATCATGCAGTGATTTATTCCTTCCATATGTCATTCAATCTCCCAACTAAAGCTGAAAGCAGTCACGCGATTTTCTTTCAGAACAAGCAGAACGACCACCAGCCGATGCCCTGAGAGCTGGGCAGCTGGGTGCGGGTAAGCGCAGGCAGGGACTGGCCAAGCCTGCTCATCGGCCCTCCCTGCACAGCCCGGGGATCAGAGCCCTTGGATGTGGTGAGCCGGCTGAAGGCCAGGGCAGCAGAGCAGGACCCCAGGGAAAAGGGGGCTGTTCCAGGCAACTGCTGGCAGGAATCGACAGAGCATGGGTATTCCACATGTGGGGACAAAGCGTTTCCCAAAAAGCTGGGGGAAGCAGAGACTTGAAAACAGGGTCTCA